CCCGTCAATTAATCAATTCATGAATCTAAGATGCACGATCTTAGCATTTAATTACGTTAATCAAACAGTGCAATAACATAACATTTCACGAATTAACCAAGAAACTCTATATAATTCCCCACTTGGATTATGAGTAATAAACATGGTAATTCTAATTTATTTTCACAATATCTATTGTGGGTAATTCCCATCTACTTGAATTTAGGATTCTAAAATCACCTTACAGAATGAACAAGAGCAAGGATTCTAGACCACTCAATGGAACCAAAATATCAAACGATTTCTCATAATCTACCTAGACCTGTCATATGTAAAGTCAATGCCAATATTATGGAATTGGTGCACTGGCAAATCAGGCACTCAGATAAGCTGAGAGGCTCGAGTGAGTGACAATAAAATAAGCATGTGATATAATAATAAAACCAGCCATCAATCACAATTTATAAACCTTGAATATAAATCATTCATAAGAAATCAATACCAAACTTTTGAAAACTCTGAAGGAGTCACCTAGACATCCAACGGTTTGTCTGAAACAAATCACAATATCTCACAACCATAATCTCATGCAACATAATGAAAAGTACGACTGGAGGGATGCAGTTCGACCAAAGCCTACGTAAGTAACCAAACAGGAAATGGCCCCCCAAAGCGGATTAACCAAGCAGAGCCACCCCCAAGAAAGTAACCCAACATGCCGTGACCCCCCAATGCGGATTAATCAAGCAGAGTCACTCCTACAGCTGTTAGGAAGTGATCACCCAATGCGGATTAACCAAGCATGATCACTCCTAAGCATACATGGCCATAAGGATCGCCCAACGCAAATTAACCAAGCACGATCCATGCATATAGTATGGTCTCCCAATACGGATTAACCAAGCAGGACCACTAGTGACCCCCTAATGCGGATTAACCAAGCAGGGACCTAGTCCACTAGTAGCCCTCACCTTTCATCAAATCAAGCCAATCATACAAAACAAACCATATTTCCAATATGCACGTCAAATCCCACTTTATAAACTACCTCGATGGCTAAATATAAAAATTAACAATTTATAGGAAACATAATTGTAAAACCATTTCATATTCACATATATTAAAATCACTCACATTTCATCATATCATACCATCTATGCAAATCAACCACCTTTTAAATATGCACGTCAAATCACATATCACGATCATCATCAGTACACAAGCCAAATCATGTTTAATAAACATAGGTCTATGACTAAATATATATATATATATATATGTATGTATGTATGTATGTATGTATACAAAATCACATTTCAATAGAATCACATTATAAAACCAAGTCAAATTCACAGATGATACCAATATAAGAAATCAAGGTAATAAACATATCACATATGTTCAAGTCACTCTCTAACCAATGTAGGCCCACTAGACTTCACTTAAGTCTCCCATAGTACTAATTTTATTATTTAGAACATATCGAGACATGTTGACCACCATTCAACTCTAGGTCAACAATAGGGTCCATCACTCTACGTAATTCGATCTTGAAGATCCGCACATCAAATTTATGATCCATAACTTCCCAAAGTCCACATTATGCATCTAGAATAACATACTAAAATTTCCTAATGATCCAACGGTCGGATTGTCATCAATCACACAAACAAGTGGCAGTCCAAATTGATCACCACACCAAACAATTGAATCTTTGGAAATCGAGCTAGACATAGGTTCATAGGGTCACTAGAAGGTATTTGAAACCTAGACAACACTCGTGAATGATCCCACACACCGCCACACACGGTGGTAGTCAAGATGGAGGGTTAGAAACCTCGAATTTTCAACATTAACTGGATGAGCTCAAATTTATGTGGTAGCTAGAGCTCAACAAGGGAAACACTTTTCACAACTAAGCTGACGATAAATTCTAAACGGAAACCGTTCAAATTCATCGGAGAAAACAGGACTCTAAAATGAATACGAAAGCACAAACTAAGCATAGCAACTTGAAGATTATGAAGAGTAGATGAAGTTTCATACCTCACTCGAAGGAAAGGGTTGCCAGAATCACCGGAAAAATGATAAAACCGCCAGAAAACTCGTGGACTTTGCGACCTCAAACTGCAAAGATGGAAAAGAAATTGGGAAATCTAACATCATAGAGATGTAGGGTTCGTCAAGAGCTTTCCATGGACACCAAGATCACCCAAAACGGAACTCGAATGAAGAAGATACAAGCGGGTCAAGTTTGTGGGTTTATGGGTCCAAGTCTCCCTAAAACCGATTAGTGCAGCTCCTCCCTTCCATTTTCAGAAACCTCCCCCTTTTTCTGGAGGTTTCACTCCAATTATAGCATTTTGGTAAAATTACCAAAATGCCACCAACTTCAAACGACTCTAACTTCTCCGTTGTACGCCTACGTGCTCATGGAATCGAACTCTACCTAACCAATTCAAGAGTTGACCGAAAAGGTCGAGAAAATTGGAAATGACTAAAGTACCCCTCACTTCGTTTTTCTCAAATCTGGAGAAATAAAGAACTAGTTCCAATCAAATCTTCAAAATATGTCAAGAATAAAATAAAATAATAATTTTGGGGATGGGATATCACACCGGCCCGAGGGGCCATGGTGTCTCGACGTTGTGTGTCGCACCAGATCCCATCTCCGTTAGCTGCATCTGTGTTCCCCTATATCGCGTCACACATGATTCGGCCCCTATTTGGGCCCGACTCCTATTATGTGGCTGGTCTACAATATTGGGCATGCAGCCCATTATTAATATTAGGGCATGATCAGCCTGTGAAAAAAAAAAAAGACACTAAATTCTTGGGCCCACCTGCAGCGAGCCATGTGGATTTTTTTGGGGGCTCACTTGATGTGCCCTTTTTTGTCCTTCTCCTCCCAATGGACCTGAAGCCTGCACCCGAGAAACCCCAGCCCAATTTTTGGGCTTGGGTCACACGGACCAAATTTGCTCAACCCCCCTGTGGGCTTTAGCCTATATTTTTGGGCCCTGAGCTTCGTTGTTTAATACTTTTAGACAATTTGGGTTATATATATATATATATATATATATATATATATATATATTTCACCCACACTTTAAATTTTGGCCCAAAGTTCTGTTTGCATATTTTTGTTGCATCTTTTTGTGTATATATTTGTGTTTCCTATAGGAACATATGAACCTGAAGTTCATAATTATTTTGAAACCTGAAGTTTCTTATAAACATGCCTTATTTGAAAACTTGAAGTTTTCTTTAAAAACATCACCCATGAAAACCCGAAGTTTTTTCATGTAAATTTAAACCAATACATATCTATTAGAACCTGAATGTTCTACTCCTATGTGAATGGATTAATTTTTTTTCTCCATTACACTAACCACATCTTATCTATCTACTTTGTGATAGGAACATGTTGAATTTGAACAAACTCGACTTCACCACTTTAGGGGTCATTGGAAGGAACTACCTCAAGTGGGTCCAAGATGTAAAGCTCCACCTCATTGCAAAGAACTTACGTCCTGCCATTGTCTGTTGGCGAAGCTGAAAAAGCCATTGATATGATATTCATCTGAAGACATATCCATGACGCCTTGCAAGCTGAATACCTTGCTGAGAATGATCCACGTGCACTATAGGTCGCTTTGGCTGATCATTTTGACTACCAAAAGGGCATATTTTTGCCTGAAGCAAGACATGACTAGCAGCATTTGCGCTTCCAAGACATTAAGTCTGTGAATGAATATAATTTTGAAGTTTGTTGAATTTGATCACTTCTCAAGCTTTGTGATGAAATTTTGACCGAAGATGATCTAATTTTGAAGACCTATTCGACTTTCTCTAATTCTAATATTGTCCTGCAACAACAATATAGAGCTAAAAAGTTCACTAAGTTCTCGGAAGCCACCCCGTGAAGGTCAATAGAGTCAAGGCCTATCCAAGGGAGGAAACAAAGCCCATAAATGCTCAAACCTCTCTCCCAAGGCCCCGAACTTCAAGAATAAGGGCAAAGCACTTGAAACCATGGATGTGTATATGTGCTATCGTTGTGGTTCAAAGGACCATTGGTCCTGTGTTTGCCTAGCTCCCCTAGAAGGTTGTAGCTAAATATCATTCTCATCGTAAGAAGTTTAAATCAAACTTTGTGCAGGTAGACGAACCAGAGACTACAAAGATGGAGGTTTCTGAATTTCAAGAGGATACCACCCCTATGGAAGATTAGAATCTTAGACAAACAATTTTAGTTAGTTAAAATTGCACAATGGGGTCGAATTCCACCTAGTGGCCGAACCCCCCTTTGTTTTTTGGTTGACTTTTGAACAATTTTCCTTTATGCTTGGATTATTTGTTGGTGATTTGTTTTTGGATATTAAGTTTCAATTAATTACAATCCTGGAATAAATGAAATTATTTTGAATTGATATTTGTTTTTAGAACTTTTATGCATGTGACCGATTCAAATTAATTTTTCATTCTAGGTATGACTAATGGGGAAGTTAGTTGTCTGGCAGATAGTGCAACCACGAACACAGTTTTGCATGAACACATCTATTTCACAAACTTCATACCTAAGAATGCACCTTTGACAACTTTCTCAAGCCCATCCAACCTGATATAAGGATACGGTAAGGCACGTATAATGTTGTCCAATGGTACAATCTTGACCATTTCTAAGGCATTCTATTCGATTGGATAATGCTAGAGAATTCACATCTAAAACTTTTGATTACTATTGCATGTCGGTTGGGGTTAAAGTTGAACATCCCATACCCTATGTTCACACCCAGAATGCCCTGGCAGAGGCTTTCATTAAGCGCTTACAAATGATTGCCCGATCGTTGGTCATACGTACCAAGCTCCCGATCGCTACTTGGGACCATGCAATATTACACGCAGCAAAGTTGGTCCGCCTGAGGCCCATTGCGACACAACCATTTAGTGCCATTTAGTTGGTTACCGGATACGAACCTGACATATCGCATCTACGCATTTATGGTTATGCTGTATATATGCCGATCTCGCCGCCTTTAAGTACAAAATTGAAGCCTCAGCGTAGCATGCGAATCTATGTCGGATATGATTCTTCTTCAATTATTCGTTACTTAAAACCTTTGATAGGCGATCTGTTCATCGCTCGTTTCACGGATTGTCACTTCTACATGACAGTCTTCCCACCTTTAAAGGGAGATAAAAACGTCAACGTTCCTGAAGAACGACGCAAATTATCATGGACGACCCCCATTTTGTCTCATTTAGATCCCCGCACTGCTCAGTCTAAAACTGAAGTGCAGTGCATATTAGATCTCCAGAGCATAGCTCAGAGCATGCCAGATGCTTTCACCGATTCCAGCTGCAAATACGCCTGCAAAGGTGGACGTACCAAATGTACGACGGACTTCCCTCCTGGAGGCCAAGACGTCAATCTTGGTGATCCACGTGCATTAGCGGCTAGCCAATCATTTGCCTCTACACAAAAGTGTGGCAGACCTCTTGGTTTAAAGGATTCACACCCTCGGAAGAGGAAATCCACGGCACAGAGCCTACCATAAATCTGACTATCGCTTACTCATTCTATCTAACTCATGAGAAAATTCTAGATTATGGAAGCGTTCTTGAAGAGACGAATCATCCTCTTGAGAATCGTGAGATTTCGGTCTATTATGCTAGCTTAGATGATGTGTGGTGTAGAAATTAGATAATTGTCGATGATGCATTAAGATATGCAGTAGCTACTGATATCATGTTGAGTGATGACATTGAACTGTGTTCCGTTGATGAATGTCGACGTAAAACTGATTGGTCAAACTCGAAACAAGCAAACCAAGTTGAACTCGATTCACTTGCAAAACGTAATATGTTTGGACCTGTAGCTCCTACTCCTTCACATGTGAAGCCAGTTGCCTACAAGTGGGTCTTCATTTGGAAGCGTAATGAAAAGAACGAAATTGTGTGTTACAAAGCTCGTCTTGTTACACAAGGCTTTTCACAACACCTCGGGATTGACTATGACGAAACTTATTCACTCGTTATGGATGTGATTACTTTACGCTACCTTAGTAGTTTGGTAGTTTTCAAAAAACTGAGTATGCAGCTGATGGACGTAGTAATTGCGTATCTCTATAGGGATCTTGATACAAAAATTTATATTAAAGTTCCCGAATGACTTACATTGACTGGTTCAAATATTTCCAAACCCCAGAACATGCTCTCAATTCAGCTGAGGCGTTCACTCTACGGTTTAAAGCAATCCGGAAGAATGTGGTATAACCGTTTGAGTGAGTATTTGACTAGTCAGGGGTATGTGAATAACGAGCTATGCCCTTGTGTGTTCATTACGAAGTCACATTATGGATTTGAGATTGTTGCAGTATATGTCAATGACATGAACCTTATCGGAATTCTTGAAGAGCTCGCGAGAACTGCCGTGCACCTGAAGTTGAAATTTAAGATGAAAGATCTAGGTAAAACTCGTGTCTCGGTCTCAAGATATAGCATTGTTGGGATGAAATCCTAGTACATCAATCGAACTACACCTAGAAGGTGTTGCGCCGCTTTAATAAGGATAAAGCGAAGCCTTCGAATACTCCTATGATTATTCGATCGCTAGATGCAAAACGAGATCCCTTCCGTTCGAAGGAGGATGATGGAGAGATTTTGGAGCCTAAAGTTCCTTATCTAAGTATGATAGGCGCTTTATTGTACTTAGCTCGATGCACTAGACCCGACATCTCCATCGCTGTTAATCTTTTGGCAAGATACAGTAATGCACCAACGCGCAGACACTGGACTAGCGTGAAAGACATCTTCTGTTACCTTAAGGGCACTACGGATTTAGGCATGTTCTATCCCTATAGATCCTCAAGTGATACCACACCCCCTGCTTCTTGAGTTATTTCTCGCCTTATTGGTTATGTCGATGCAAGATACTTATCTGATCCGCTCAAGGTGCATTCTCAAACGGCTTATGTCTTTATCGTTGGAAGCACCACAATCTCTTAGAGGTCAACTAAACATACCTCTCTTAGAGGTCAACTAAACATACCTTAGTTGCCACTTCATCTAACCATGCTGAAATTCTCGCCATACATGAAGTAACTCGGGAATGTTTTTGGTTAAGAGCAGTAGTGGGCCATATTCGAAGCTCCCGCGATCTCTATCTCGTCGTTGATGTCCCGATGATGATCTTTGAAGACAACGCAGCATGCATTAAACAACTCAAGAAGGGTTACATCAAAGGAGACAACACCAAGCATATTGCGCTGAAGTTCTTCTTTTCACATCAACAACAAGAGCATCTGAAGATTGAAGTCACACAAATCCGTTCACAAGACATTCTGGCCAACGTCTTCACCAAATCATTGATGAAGACGACGTTTCAGAAGCTTGTTCATGGAATTGGTATGCGTAAACTTTTTAAGTTGTAACATTACTATTCTCTTTGGAACTGTGTCAAACTCAAGGGGAGTATCCTGAAGATACTTGCTTGATTTTAATGTACTCTTTTTCCTTACAATTAGGAGCATTTTTCCCACTAGATTTTTGCTATCTAACTAGGTTTTAATGAGGCATCCACCTTGGGCTGGCCATATCCCTGATGATGTCCCGTACACGTTCTTTTGACTTTGCATTTCTCACGCATTGTTCCTTATACTATGGATTTTGTCCCTCCTCAGGTTTTTGCCATAGTCGTAGGGTTTCTAGTGATTTGCCATAGTCGTAGAGTTTTCTAGTGAGACTTACTTCTTTATGCAAGTTCCTACCTCAACTTCTGCATGATGCTAAATCTACCTTGAGTATTTACACACTCAATGGGGAGTGTTGTAAACTTTCCTAGTTTAAGTGTGATTGTGTAAATCCTAGATTAGATTTTATTCTAGTTATCATTTCCTATTACAACTTGTATTCTTTGGGGATGAAGGAATTCCTTCTCTCCTTTTACTACTATAAATAAAGGCACTATGTAGGAGGGATAACACAAACATTCCCCTATAATTCTACAAACACATCTCTCTCAATTTGTCTACCCTTGCCGCCAACGCTATTCCCTTTGTCAGATAAAATAAGCTACAACATCAATTACATTTTTATTAAATATTAATTCTAAAGCATCTTAAACAAAACACTTTAAACGAATTTTAAAAATACTTTCAAAGGGCCTTTGTATATTACTGGTGTATAATAGCACAGTGATGTTCCGTTTTAAAATATAAAAATATAATTAATTTCTCTTCACATGTTCTTGTATTATTAGCTTAAAACATCACTTTGAATGTGTAGTCTTACCATATAAGTCATGCAAGTAAACCATCGGGATCTAGGTGCTTGCTTTTATTCAATCTCAAGTTAAGCCACTAACTGTTTTGCACGGTGTATAATAACATGGGGGGTGCCAACATGTCTTTTTGCTTTTATTAGCTTAAAACATCACTTTGAATGTGTAGTCTTACCATATAAGTCATGCAAGTAAACCATCGGGATCTAGGTGCTTGCTTTTATTCAATCTCAAGTTAAGCCACTAACTGTTTTGCACGGTGTACAACATTCTTGTCTTTTTGCTCTCTAACCATTTTATTCTTGGATGTATGATACAAATTTTAAACACTCGTTTATTTTTCATAGATGACAATGGTTGAATACTAGAAAACGAGAATTTGGAAACATATTAGACACACTTAGCATTAGCATAACATGCTCAAAGATAATGTTGAATTCACCAAGTTTATACTGCAAGATAAATATAGGACACTATAACATAGAAAAAGAGAATTAACTCATTTCCTCTCAAACTTGTCTGTTATTTCTAGTTATTGAATTGAATAAATTATACAGGAATAGCGACAATGATTAAATGAAAGGATAATGAACTCATGAGCTTAATTTGATACTATATTTTTTTGTTTGGAAAGAAAAAAAAAATCATTTTACTAAGGGAAGGGAAAGAGTTCAAAACTATTACAATAATTTATTACTATGTGTGTATTGTTGTAGGCCTATTTGATTGAACGATCTAGGGTTTAGAGAGAGAGGGGTTCGGCAATATTGAGAGAGAAGAGAGATTGATTGAATTGTGAGGTGTGTTTGATTCACCCTATTGTGCCTTTATTTATAGTAGTAGAAAAGGTAAAACCTTTCCCTTGAGGATTACAACATTTAATAGGTAATCTAATCCTAATAGGAATATATAATACTTTCCTAGATTCCCTAGGATTTACACAATCACATTCCTATTCTAAATATGACTGCAACACTCCCCCTTGAGTGTGTAAATACTCAACAAACCATCGCATTAGATCTTCAGCAGATAAGGTAGAATAGTCGATGAAGTCATCGGCACAACGGGTGATCGCGAGTCTCAAATTTACTTTGAAGTATGCATTTGTAAAAATTCACAAAAACCTTACTATGGAAAAACCCAAGGAATGGGGAAAAGCTATAGAATATGGAGAAAAGTAAGAAAATATGCATAATGTCTAAAACGCTCGGCAAACTAGGCAAAGGTAGTGAACTCAACGGAGTATGATCATCCCCGGATGGGTGCCTCATTAAAACTTAGTTAGGTAGCAAAAACCCAGTGGGAAAAATGCTCTAATCGTAGGGAAAAAGAGTACATTAAGATCATGTGAGTATGCTTCAAGATACTCCCCCTGAGTTAGACATAACTTCTAAATAAGAGAACTACAAGCGATTTGCCTCAGATAATTTACGCATATCGATTCCTTGGATGAGCTTCTGAAATGTAGACTTGGGCAATGACTTGGTAAAGAGATCGGTCATGTTGTCTTGGGAACGGATTTGCTTGACTTCAATGTTCTAATGCTACTGCTGCTGGTGTGAGTAAAAGAACTTCGGCGCTATATGCTTGGTGTTGTCTCCCTTGATGTATCCCTTCTTCAACTGCTCGATACATGCTGCATTTATTCAAAGATCGTCGTAGGAAAGTCAACGACTGATGTAAGACCACTAGTGCTTCGAATATGTCCCATAACTTCTCTCAGCCAAAAACACTCACTCGATGCTTCATGCAGGGCAAGAATCTCAGCATAGTTAGATGAAGTTGCAACTAGCGTTTGCTTGGTAGACCTCTAAGATATAGCGGTGCCTCTAACGGTAAAGACATAGCCCGTTTGAGAACGTGCTCTATGTGGTTTAGACAAATATCTAGCATCTGCGTAACCAACAAGGCGAGAATCAATTTGAGAGCTATAGGGGGTGGCAACACTAGGAGATTCGTAGGTATAGAACAATCCCAAATCCGTAGTACCTTTGAGGTAGCGGAAAATGTCTTTAACACCATTCTAGTGTTTGCGTGTGGGTGCATTGTTGTATCTAGCCAATAGATTCACAACAAAGGAGATGTCAGGTCTAGTGCACTGAGCCAAGTACAATAAAGCCCCAATTGCACTTAGGTAAGGAACTTCAGGTTCTAAAATCTCTTCCTCATCCTCCTTTGGATGAAAGGGATCTTGTTTAGCATCTAGAGTCCAAAAGACCATGGATGTACTCGAAGGTTTCGCTTTATCCTCATTAAAACGACGCAACACCTTTTAGG